TTGCATAGAATCGGGTTTCAGTGACTATAAACCAGTCCGCTCCAACAACTTGTCCACCAAGTACTGAAAGGATAGTTTCAAAGCAATAGAGACGTAGACTCAGGGATAATATGAACTCAAACAACGATCATAATTCCACAAAAAACAAAATCAAAAATTGTGCGAATCTGTCCACGGCTGCAAGAGAGGGACAAATCCAGCGACGATGTCAATGCAGGTCAATGCACAAGACAGCATCACCATGCCCTGTGCTAGATAGATAGGTATTTGGTTTCGCTCAGTCTGCACCAAAGCTTGGTTGAAGGCAAGAAAATCCCTTCTGCTCTGAAGAGACAAGCAGACCAAGCCCTGGACACCAAGGCCGTACACGACTCAAGCATTTCATCTAGCAAAGGATGAGTTTCCAACTTTTCTCGATAACCGTCAAGGATAATCATGATCTTTCCCAGCCCGGTCTCCGCGAATGCACACCAGACATAGCTGGTTCCATTCGCGTGGCAGCAAGTGTGGTTCTGGCTCGCGGGAAAGCCATCTCATTGGGGGATACAACAATGGAGAACTGGAGATTGGTCTTGGGAACTAAGACTAGACAGGTAAACCACAGGAGAAGAGGACACCACCCGGACCTGACTCTGAGTTGTGAGTGAGTTCAGTGGACACTGAATAGGGGACTTAGTCAGGTCTTCCCTGAGTGGACGGCCTGCTTTGCTTGCCAGAGGGGACTTGATCTAGATACACAGTACAAGAGAAGCATATAGAAGCATCCACGGCTCCACGCTTCCATGCTTTCCATGTCCATTGTGGAGGAATCTGGGTCGAGATCATTTTCTACCTGCTCTTTATTCTCTCAAGCTTGAAGTTCCGAGCTCCTACTTCACGTTGAACGAAAATTATGGAAAATTCTCCGATGTTGGACGCAACGTCCCGCGCACGTGGCACTTGCTCGTTCTCCTGAGCACAATCCAGGAGTGAGATCCACAACAATGCCATCTTGAACTTACAGGCCTTTTTCGCACAGAATCCCACTGACTAAGAATGATATAACTCGAATGGCTATATATTGCTTCTCCACTACAAACGAATAATTTCGGCATCTCTCTAACATGCGGGTGGAAATCCGGGGTAAAAAAAAAAAAAGACAAACAACACATCGAACCGTTGGAAACACATCCGAGGCATGACAAATGGAAGGCAGAACCATGAAAGGTAAGCGTGCAGATGCCCGCTGAATGGAGATAAAAAGATGGCAAAACAGTAGACTGGATGAACGCACAACTCAGGATGGGATGCCACCAATAAAGCAGAATCCAAAGAAACCATTAGACATAACATGATCTTTTCGCGGAACCAGATCTCGGGCCGAGTGATACTACTCGAAGGGTATCAAATATGAAAGCTTTTGCGACAGAACGGCGACAAAAGTAGGAAGGACCAGAAGAAAATGAAAACAAAAAAGTGCGCTCCAACCGAATCACAACAGAATCAGGTAATTCGATGGAGCGATACCGGTATCTCCGTTGGATTTTCTGGCCTGCCACCATCTGCCGCTGACATCTGACACTTCCAAAATTTCATGTTTGCTGAAACTAATTTCGTTGGCATCTTCAGGATTGGCATCGTAGGAATATATCGCTTTTGCCTTGTACGGGTATTCTGTCGGCTGTGGCACTTCGTCCTGACCGTTGTTGTTCCCAGCAAGGTTGCTGGCGGACGGGTTGCCAAAACGAGCCTGAGAGGAGCTGCGGTTTTCTGATCCGGGAGCGCCGCCGGGATAACCCGACACTGGAGACGACGTTTCGAAGCCGTTGAGTTGGGCGGAAGTGTACATCTGGGGTGCGCTGGTGGACATTGTCTCAGGGCGATGGCCAAAGGCCGTAGACATGGGTCGACTATTTCCATACGCGCCGCCGTTCTCCTTGTTGAGGGCGAAAGAATCGATAAAGCCGCGATGCGTAGCTTGAGGAGTCGATCCAAAGTAGAATATCCAGACGATCTGTTTTAAGGTTAGTTTTAGTATGAGAGGATGATGCGATCGCTAGAAGGTCAACCGCGAATAACCTACAATGACCATTGACAGGAGAATGAATCCGGCAGCTGCAGCTTGCGACGAGGATTCAGCTTCGTAGACCAGGGTATTGACCGCCAAACTGGTCAGCACTAAGCCTGTTGAAAGATAGCCCACAACCTGTTACCCATCAGCGCCGATGATCCCACGACAAGGTTGAGAAACATACCGCTACCCCATAGACGAGACCGGTGTCCGAACCAACAACAATCGTGACCCCGATAATACAACAAAACATGTAGGCGATTGCCCACCATGAGTAATTCGGATATTTCGTCTTGATATCCGCGATGATGGATGCGATACATGCGATCAACCACGCGAGCTAAAGATTGAGAATGCGATTAGTCGTGAGCCCCAGTGTGCATGCCAATAACCTGCATTAGGGACGACGTACAATCGAGATGGAGATGGTCGCGAGCGCAAATGGGTCGCCCAATATATTGCTTGCCCGAAACTTCGCCATTCTTCTCCGGGGTTCCGTATATGGATTCGGTTTGTGAAAGGACGGAGAATGCTCAGAATATGCCACCATGAACGGTATTCGCTATATACAGAGTCGTCGAAGCGGTTGGATGTAGAGAAGTCGATTCGCGTTCGATTCGACTCAATCAGGATGTAACAGATATCGCACGCGACAGGGCAAAAGCAGGCCGATTCTCTAAGACGTTATTTCCTTCTGTGAAGTCGAGATGGTATACGTCAATATCGATTGAACTTGATGGTTGATTTAGGTGAAGAGAGGGACTTGGATGCAGGAAGAGAAAAGAATGAGACTAGGCACACAGTCAGCCACAACTCACAACGCAAATGGAAATGCAAATGCGCAAAGGAAAGAGAACATATAGGTACAATTGGTAGTCGACTATAGAACATGGTAAAAAAGGCAGCAGAAATTGGGTCAATGACAGAACATGAGGTGGAAACGATTGACGTGTAATCGTACCTTGCGACACGATCCAGGTAAAAGTGAGTGTACTCCGTATGTCTTATGATGACGGAACTGGTGCAGATGCCGGCGTGAGAAGATTGATCGAGTCAAATCGGTACTTGGAGATCAATCAAAGCTACCAAGGCTGGTGCTATGAAACTGAAAACAAGCGAGAACCCCTTGCAGAGACGCGGAGAGACAACACCAGCACCTGGCTGGAGGAAAAGAAGGTGGTGTTTTGAAACGTTGGTGGGAAGAAAGGAAGAAAAATCGAAGGATAATAGAAGAATCAAAATGAGAAAACGAGTGGAAATCGATGGATGTAGACCAATCGATGAGAAAATCGAAGAAGAAGAAAGAGGTGAAAAACAAAGAAACAAGGACAGTATGAAGTTGAGGGAAGATTGATTAACACTAGTACCTAATAATAATAACGATAGAATAGGAAAACGATGATGAAGATGGAGATTGACAGATGAAAGACAGAGCCTTGACCCAGTGTCCGGTCGGGAAAAGGAGAGTTGGATCAGTGAGTTGACTAGTCTATCTACGGTAGTACATTCTCCGTGGTGGGAATCAAATGGGTGAGACGTGTGTAGATATGTATCTCAAGTCAGCATTAGAGATGACGAAGACAAGCCCTGAGAGCCTTCAAAGAGCGTATGCAGTTCGTCGGGTCAGAGTAAGACCTACTGGCTACTGGCTACCTACCTTACTTTTGTATTGCAGTGCTCGTGCTTGTACAGTCGCAGACTCGCAGTACTTACTATGAAGGGCTGAAGTACCGTCTCCAGGAACCACGGTGCTTGTGGGCCATGCCAATCCGTTCCGCAAGGCAAACACACGGACACTTGCTCTTAGTCTTGAGACTTGACTTTGAGTCTGGTCTGGTCCTTTTCCTCTCTCAGGAATACGTACTCTGAGTATCTACGGAGTACGGAGTACGGAGACAGGATTAGTATCATTTCCCCCTGGCAGGTCCAACGACCGAGGAAGACGGGAGGATATGATTGGAAGATGGGCGAATTGACGGAGCATCCAAGAGGGGCAGCTGGGGTCGGTGGAATAAGTGGATGTAACAGTGACCAATGCTCATTGTTCCTGTAGTTATTATTATCGCACCTTTGGCGATGATCCTTTGTTATTTCCCCTCTGTCATCGACTCATCGCGGCATTGTCCTTATCCACGCATGCTGATTCTTTGTTGAGTCAAGGATTCCTGAGATAAGGAATAAATATCCGTACAGCTCTTTGATATTTGTACTTCCAGTCAACAGCCTCACAGATTGAATATGAAACAAACCACGTTGAGTCGGAAACATGGGCCCAGAAATGAATCAAAATGAGATCTTGGAAATTTAGGAGTGCGCTAAAACCCACCATGCATACTAATAATAATGGGTCTTAACTCGGCTTTCCCTACTTAGCGACCGAGCGACGCAAAAAAATCGAGGCAAAAGTAGACAAATTATGGAATTAAGAGCTAATTTCGGCTTCGGCCTCTGCAGTTGTATTTTGTGCATCTGATTTGCTTGTGCTCTGAAGGTTCTAGACCTTGTGGTGAGGCTGACGCGTGTGGCACAGTGGCATCCATCCAGTGGCTTGACACAGAAGCAGCGAAATAAGGATTAGCATCCATTAATCTATCAAACATGCCGACTGCGAATCAAATCAATCTTTCCTAGATCCATATTAATTTCGAGGAAATTTGAATTTGACATCAGATACCTTACCATCATGGTGGATCAAACCACCCGGGATTTTAGCATGATCATCGTCTTCCATACTGCATGTTCTGGATCATACAAGGGATGTCTGTGCATTGACTGGATGCTGGACTGCACGGCTCCTCATTGATCCAGCTTCGAGAATCGCTGTGAAATTGTGCCTGTTGATGCTCGCAGACGAGTTGAATCCGAAACCCAGCGATAGACCGCCTCGAGACTTTCCAGCGAAACCGTCAGCAACCTTGTTCGTCGGTTATCGAACGCGATCTCTGATATATCATCTCACTTTCGACGATCCGACATCCGACCCAGGCCGTTGTTCTTCGAGCTGCTGCTTGACAGATTTAACTGTCTCCGAGTTCTTTTCAGATCTTGGAAAAACAAGCTTTCGAATGCTGATATTCGACATTCGGGAAACCGCGACCAACTGACGTGGACTGGGAGCACCTGCGGGGAAAAGAATGTAAAGTGGTGATCCCTGCGAACCATCCGGCTTGAACTTTTCGTGAAACATCTGTTTCCCCTTGAAAAGCATTTGTCTGAATGTACGCTTGTATATCGCTCGGGTGATCTTTTCAATTGGAGGCGACAGTCGGGTTATGTCGGCCAATGCTTCCAGGGGTTCAAATCCAAGGCTGAGGTACGAAACTCTCATGGAGTGCAAGAGCGCCATGGCAGCAACGATCAACAGATCAGTGATCCCTCTGGGCGCTCCTGGAGCTGCAATGCAAGGGTCAATGTGGTATCCTTGGTTTGCACCAAGATGTCGCAGGGCCGCGAAGCCATTGGCTACACCATCTGGGCCTCTGGTGTAGATGTACACCATCATTCCCGGCATCGAAAAAGGGTCGTACACCGTGATGAAAGCCTTTGCCCCGGCAGCACGATTTCGCTCCTCACGCCACGAGTCATAAACCCCGACCAGTTCCCTCTGCACGTCAAGGTCCTCACCCTGCGCCGGTATGTATAAACCCAAAGAGACGTTGCCTTTGCTTGGGTTGAGCAGTTGCTTGCTTTGTACGATGATCCGTTTCCCACCTCGCTCGTTCAAGACGTCGTTGGTCATGGGATTGAGTACGCGCTCGGTGCCGAATTGCATGGTCGTCCATCGATGTTCCTTAGCATATTCAGCAAACACTTCGCTGGCACCGATAAAAGCGATACTCCAGCCGAATCTCCTCCGGTACGCCTTGAATTCTGTGAGCACATTGGTGAACCAGTCCGGCTCGCACAGGGGATCGCCCATGACTAGAGCAACTTTGTTATGTACTTTGAACGACAGAGCAGCAGTGCGCGCTTTGTTCACGAAGAATTTGTACCTTGGGTCGAGAACACCCATATGGGAGACCCGCCCGTACCTTGTCGCTAATCTCTCGATTGCGCCAACAGCGGCCACGTCGTCAAGGGTGAAAGTATTCGCAGGGGCCTGACGTGTGCTTTGCGAAGTTGGTCTTGATATAGGTTGTTTGCCGCGGGACGATACAGAGTGCCGCTGGTGGAGCAGCCCGGCGCTTTTGATCTGTGGCACACGTTCTTCACCCTGGATAGCATCATGGAGAGTGTAGCTGCTAGCGCTACTGATACTAACAGACGAAATATCGACAATATCTTTCGGAGGATCAAGCTGACGAGTTAGTGTTTCACTGATCTCATCCAGCAGGAGCGTTTTCTTTGTGGCTGTGTGCTTCTGTGAAGAGCGCTTGCATCGCTTTTCGGCCTTCCCCTTCTTCGGCATGGAATATAGATGATGAATTGACTGCTCTACAGATGGCAAAGCCATGATGAGGGCTTCTCTGAAATCCTAGGTTTAATTCACGACGGGGAACAGACCTATGCGACACTCCTAGGATGGCGGGCGCGAATCAATCCTTATATTCGCAATTTTTGGGTTAGAACGGGCTGCGACGGGAGTTGAGAGCATATTCCATTTTGAGGCACGATACGTGGGGTATGGTAGGTAGGCAGTCGAATTATATGGATATGTATTGGTCTATGGGAGTAGTAAGCTTTGTGGCAACTGGGCACTTTGTGGCGGTTCTAGTTTGTAAATGGCTCAAAAGCTTGAGACCCTTGGATGGGTACCTATGCTCGAGCACCTAGGGCAGTCTAACAAACATGGAATGAACACTGCTACGGTGGCCAATGGCAGGCATATGGAGTGCGACCGGGGAAGATGTGGAGGTCTGCTGCTGTACCATATCTATACCTAGGTAGTGTCAGGCCGAACGAAGGCCGTTGAGGAGACTTTGCTTTGGACCCTGAGAGCGAGGGGCCAGGGCAATTAAGCTAAGCCAAGCCTTTCTGGGAACTTATTGGGTTCTTGGCATGTCCGTATGCAGTTACTCCATACTATTACAGGTTTACAACTTTAGAATCATGGTTGGGTTCGTCTGATAGTATGGTTGACCAACGGGCCTTGAAAATCGCCCTGATCTAGACCTCAATTGCCACTGACAGGCTGCAGCATACCTTGTAATGCCTACTTGAGCTGCTCTATGATCCTTGGGCCAAGTACGTCCAGAACCATGGATGTGGGGACACGTAACGGATGATGAAAGCGACCTTGAAATCGAGGTTAGGAGAATGTTAAGCTAGGTATGTTCTCTGTTATAAAGGGAAGCAGGTCTGGACTTTGAACCCTATTAATGCATGCGGAATATCTTTGTTCATTTGCCAAGAGACAGAGACAGAAAATATCATCTATTCCTTTTGAATATCAACTGAGACACTATTCTGTGTCTGCGTTCACTGATACGTCATAGGGTGGCTTCTGATATCAATACCATAGAATACGAGAAACTCAAAGCTCTATCAATGGCTACCACATATCATATACTGAAAGTATAGGTCACAGACTTCTTAACGGTCGAACAGTGGCATTCAGCCTCATTCCCTTCACCAAAGCATCAGCAAACCCAGATACACCGCCATAGGTCCTCCTATCAGAGCCAGTATCACGGACGATAGCCTCTGCTCTTCTGGAGGAGAGAAGCATAGGAGATACGCATGCACACTAAAGGTAATGGTGGCTGCAGCCGCCAGGTTCACTGCAGATTCATCAATCACCAATTGATACTCTTCACGAATATCGATATTTCAATGTCTTGAGCTCCTTGCGCTGAAGAACATGTGACATACCGAGCGTTGACTGGACAGTCTGTTCAGTGACAAAGGTATAGAGGATGAGAAGTACAGATATGATATTGGAGCATGTTGCTGGATCTGGCCGGATAGCGCGATTAGTGGAACTCTTCTAAGACAATTTTTTTTGGGAAATCTCTACCGAATGGATTTGATCTGTCTCTGATATTCAAGAGGCGATCTGGAGGACGATCGGTTTTTGGCGCAGGTGTTGTCATTGGAGAAGACCCTGTTGCTGAACTTACTCTATTAGAAATTGATGTACAGGGTATTAGTTGCGCGTTATCTCGAGGACTGAAATGATTCTGAAGGAACAAGGCAGGATAGGGTGATTGCGAGCCATGGTTTCATTCCCTCAAGTCTTCGAAATCATGGCTGCCTAGTCTGGGCGAACACATTAGCGTGTTTAGTCGCAGCCCATACGAGTTCATGAGATTGACCAGCAGAAGAATCTAAAATGTTCAACTATGGCCTGAATCTATCCACATTAGCACCAGGGACATACATAGGCCCACCTCTCCTCTCCACATGCTCACCATCGTTTGTAGATCAGTACACATAGTCACCGTAATTATGAAGATTCTAACCGAGTGCAGTGATTTCCAAAAGATGCACACCAGTAGATCTAGTCACACAAAGACTATAGAGACTGGATGGGTGCATAGGCGGCATATCATCAAACATCCAGGATCAAGAATTGTACAACCCAACCAGCGTAAAAGAGACAACAAAATGGTATCATAGAAAGTCACAACTCCCCCGCATAAGGAACAACAGAAACAGTCAGCCTCATATCTCTCTCGCCCTTCTCTCCCTCACCACTTCCTCCCTCTTCACCTCCCGCTCCACATCCTCCAGCCGTCCCTCCCATTCAGCCCAGCACTCGCCGCTCCCCACCAGCCCAACCTCATACCAGCGCTGCAACACCCGCGCAGTCCGCACCCGGAGCTCGGATATCTGCCTCGCCTGTTCCTCCTGGGTACGGGCCAATTGATCCAGACGCGGCTGCAGCTGGACGAGAGACGCAGACGCCTGGGCGTCCGGGATAGGCAGGTCGTTTAACGAAGTGAGTCTGGACGCGGTCTCAGGGAATGCCGATGCGTACGAGAGGACGATCGAGGCGAGGTTCTGGGTTGTCAGGTTCTCCGGGACGGATTGCGGAGGTGTAGGGCGGAAGAGGTCGGGGAAGCGATCGTCTGGATCCGTTCCTGTTAGTTCGTCGTTATGTAAGATATAGAAAAGGAATGCGTACGGAGTAGTAGAACATCTCGTACAGCGGGGATATTCCTGCTGAGGTTCTCGAGGCTTTTTTCTAGACGGAGGAGGCGCCGCGAGACCGTGTCGTCGAGTGAGGCTGGTTTGGCGGGCGCGCTGGGAGTGCCTGTCCAGCTTGCGTCGCCTGTGAGGAGGTAGGTGAGTCGTTGGAGGCGTGCTTCGAGAAGCTCAATTGTGGCTCCGGCTACCGCGTCATTTTCGAGAGCCATTCTACAGGAAGCAGATGACAATTGATCTTTTGCGTTGTGTGTTTTGATCCTTGGAGCTTATGCTCAGTGACTGCGGAGAATGGGTCTGGAGATGCAAACAAAGCATACAAGCAGGACTGGGCCTGGGATGATGCCAACTGGTTATCTGCCTTTGCTGCCATACACCATCTTTAGAACTCATGAATGTTTATGCAATTTTCGGCGTTTGTGATTTAATGGACTTCTTTTTATCGACAGAGACATCAACAAGACAACGCCAAACTAGACAGTGAAATGCTAGATTGCAGAGAGAAGGAATGTCGAGTCGCTCATTGCGCATAGATTACAGCGGGTATCGAGCGCAGCCCCTTCGAGTCAAGTCGACTGACTATTCCGCGGAGACCGACATCATCACAACAGTCCTTTTTTTGTGAATTTAGGAAGAAAGAGCGCACAGTTCCCGAGCGCTCCTCTCATCATGCAAAGCTTAATATTGGAAGGGTATGGCGCTGGTATAGAGGCCCTCCAAGGAATGGCCATAACCTATATAAACACCAGCGTCTGCCGCATCCTCGGCGACTTATGAACATCCAGAGAATCCTTCTACTTCCACGCTGACCATCGAAAGCCCTTTCTTTGCATTCTTCTGCTATCAGACCGACCGAAAAATGGCCCCTTCAAGCTTCAACAGTTCTCTGGATATCACCTTCATCGGAACCGCAACGGCCATCATCGAAATCGATGGCGTAACCTTTCTCACAGACCCCATGTTTTCCCCAGCAGGCACAGAATGGGACATGGGAACTGCCACCCTCAAGAACACAGAGTCACCGGCCTTAGGTTTGGAGAACCTTCCGCCAATCGATGCCATTCTGCTCAGCCACGAGGACCACCCGGATAACCTCGACGAGTTGGGCCGACGCCTTCTCGACGGCCGCAAAGTCTTGACCACAGTTGACGGTGCGAAGAATCTGGCGCCTCGCCCTGGCGTCAAGGGCATGAGGCCTTGGGAAACCACCACGCTCACCGCTGGAGGCAAGGAATTCCAAGTCACCGCGACCCCCTGTCAGCATCTGCCTGGCGGTGAATGTACCGGCTTCATCCTCACGGCTGGGGATTTTGGAACAAGCGAGGACGGCCGTCCCAATGCGATCTACATTTCTGGTGACACGGTGTATCTGGATGAGCTGGCTGAGGAGATTCCCAAGAAGTTCTGTGTCGTCGCTGCCATCATGAACTTTGGTTTCGCTGTTGCGCCGCTGCCGACTGGGCCACAGCCCATAACCATGGATGGAAAGTCCGGTGCGAGGCTGCTGCAGGCGCTGAAATCTGATGTCCTTGTTCCGATGCACTATGAGTCTTGGGGGCATTTTACTCAATTTGGAAAGGAACTTGCGCAGGACTTTGAAGCCGCAGGTGTGCAGCATAAGGTGTGTTGGTTGACTCCGGGTCAGAAGAAGAAGGTCTTGTAGGAAGGTCAATTTCATCTGCAATCACTTCAACTGAATATGAGCAAATGTGTTGTAAGAACACCGTCGATTGACTCTGATTTCTCAGTCAAGTAGAGTCTGTTTCATTAGTCATAATTCGTCAAATAGTTGAACATAAGTCTATCGCATGTACATTCGCAGAGCTCTCAGAGTAACCCTCTCCTTCTAGGCGTGTTCTTTAATCATCCAACCTCTTGCTCTCATCTATGTCGAGTCCATAGTTCGGGATGGTTGCACAGCCCCAGCTGCGCTCAGTAAACCTGGTCTGCCCCTTTCCTGCATCTCCTGCCCAGAGTCCGTCTCATCATCAAAAGACGGAATCTCGTAGTCAAACACGTTCACCTTTCTACTGGCTGATGGATCGGAAGTCGCCAGTGGGTGGTCTTGCCTCTCGAGTCGAGAGAGAGACTCGCCTTCACCAAAGGAAGCGTTTGCATTTGAAATCTGCCCCTCCATGGGATCTCCAGCGGCTCTTTCATCAAACTCCGCTTCGAATGCCCGATTATCCGCATCCACAAAGGCCTAAACTCTGGTCAGCCGAAGATTCACACACCATCATTACGGATATCTTACTTGAAGTTCGGCCGGCAGCGGATTAGCCTGAACGCTCATCGCGTTAGAATTGGCATAGACGAGGAGGACATTTTTGGACTCTTCGCGAGCAGCATGAAGCACTTCGATTTCTCGGACTTTGCGCGCAGTATACCCGACGACATCGGCATGGTTTGCTGCAGCCTTCCCATCTCGATTGGTCCCTGCCTGTCGGGCCTTTGCATCGTCAGTAGAGAAGCTGATTCGCCACCATTGCCACTGATCGCCTGCGCTAGACTCTAGATTTGTCGCTTGCTCAGAGTTGTGGGATGTGCGGGGTTTGAGAACATAGGTTATGTGCGGCTCAGTACACACGCCGCGCAAAGTGTACCGATGGTGTGGTGGTTCTGTAGGTGATTCTGAAGGCTCAGTGAGAATCTTGGAGTAGTTCCGAAGCGTTTCAACAGCTTTCTGTTTCCTATTCTCCAATTCTGCAATATGCGTTGTCAGCCTAAGCAATGAAAAACAAAACTTGCAAAGTTACCTTTCAACTTGTCTTCGATTTTGCTTGAGAGATCTCTCAACTCTCCGGCCAATCTTTGCGCCTCGGCGTTTGCTGCTTCCGGAGTCAAAGTCAGGTCACTTACTCCATTGGCAAGACTTTTGGGTAAAGTCAAAGAAGCAGCAACGGCGGCTTTCTCGAGTATCTCTCGAGATCCAAGCCCTCTATGGAAGACCGATTTCGAGACCGAGAAGCGATTCATCAAAGTTTCCAACTTAGAAATCTCTTCGTAAACTTGGAGTCGTCGCGCACGAAAATCACGCGCCAGGTCCTTGCAAGTGGCGAGGTACCGATCCGGATAGAAGACAGCAGGTATCTTCACATCCACAGACTTCGCTGAGTCGGAGCTATCCAGTTTGATCATCAGAACTTCAGCCACATGTTCCAGCCACACATCATCCAGCTCTTCCCCTGGTCTGTCGGACCAGATGGTACGATCTAGCACATCATAGAGCGTTTGGCCATGATCGGGCTCCACGAATGGGTCAAGGATGAAGAATTCTTTTTGGATTGGCGTGTCATACAGCGAAAGGGGACGCTTGTATGCGTCTGACGAGAACACTGTTGCCAACTGGTTTCCCGGATCCGCTCTGACGGCAGACTCCTGCCATTTCTCTAAGAATTGACTGATGCCGCCTTCGGCGTCATAAGATGCCATGCTTTTCAGGCTCGAAAGAGCATCGGCGCTACCGAATGCGCGGTTTGTCGCATCTAGAAAAGCAACCAATCTTTGAGTTTCGTAAAGGATGTCGTCCCAGTCCGTGTCACCGTCTTGCGCATCTTGCATTGCAACTATTTTCGGCAAGTTGATCGGCTGACCATTCCACCACTGCGGATCGTGACCGTACTTCGGGAGGACCTTATTTCGTAGAAGAAGAGCCTCTCGCGCCAAAGGAATTGAATGCAAGATAGTCAACAGCCCGCCCAAGTACAGATTATCCTGGGATGGGCGAAGGAACGCCGGTTCATCTGCTGCTCTTCTGCGGTCCGCTGGGTCCGGGCTGATGATGATCTCTTGTGCACTGGAATTGAAAAGTGTCATTGCCCATGCGCCTTCATCATAGTGATCCCGCGTGGCTTTGCTGAAATTCGATTGATTTGTGATTCCCGTCTCCTGATGCCCCAGGTTCTGGTTCAATGACATTGCCACTGCTTGTTGAAGTTCACGCTCCTCCTGTTCAGCAAGTGTCATACCTGTTGCCTCCGCTACACCTGAAAATCCACCAAGTCAGTAGAAGTGGCGCAGCCTTCCTTGATCAATTACCATACCTGCAGCGCTTTGAGAAGGACCCGTTTTATGCCCTTGATATTGCGTGGCTTGTGCTTGTTCATTCAAATTCGACATCGACGGCGGGCGCGAAGGAGGAACGGCAGAGGATATTCCGACGACGGGGTCTGAGTGTTCAATCTGGAAGGCTGCGAGGCAGAACTGTTAACAGAGCCGCTATGCTAGTATTCGATGGGCATTGGTATGTACATACAGGGTATTTCCTCCTCATGAGGAACACTAGCTGGCTAGAGCGTAGTAAATCCGCGATCAGTCCCAGTCTCATACAAGCTCAATCATTTCCAGGAGTCACCTCTAATTGGGGCGGAGTCGGATCTTCAAAGTATGCGTTGATAGCCTTATTCGAGTTGAGGTCGTTGGCCTGCAGAGTGTCTGATGTCAGTGTGCAACATACAGAAGGGTAGTCTATGATATCTGCTCACCTTCAAAAAGCGGATCGCATGCTCGCGCGATGTACTTGTGAAGTTCACGAAGTTCGCGATAGCTTCCTCTGATGGTTCGGAGGCCATGCCGTGGCTCCCACACAGAAACTGCAGAGGGTCGCAGACAAAAATTAGCGATGAGGGCAACCAGAGTTTAGGAAAGAGCAATGAGATCAGAAAAGAACAATGGCTCAACCAAGGAACTGTTAAGTGGAGAGTTGTCTGTACGGATGTCTCCAGTTAAGCTTCCCCACCACATGACATCCATCGGCCAAGCCCACTTCCATTGCCATCTTGAAGAAGCCTTGTTGAGGAGTACAAGAAATCACATTTACACATCATACTCTTTTCGCATTAAGAAACAAAGAAAATTTCAATAGAATAAAAGAAACGATCAAAGAATCGTTCACTTTCAGGGAAAATTGATACAACTTAGAATGGGAACGCGACGATAAGAATAGAAACAAAGGAGGTTCTTTTCACTGTTCTTCTTATGAACCTTCCAGCGCACTCAAAGAACCATGTGGATGAAAGATGTTTCAAATGTCACAATTCCAAGGATCATATTCAATGCTTTATTGTGCTTGCAATATTACACACCATAGGAATTGACATTTAATCCCTTGTGGTTCCTCCCTCAAAGCTCGCTCAACAACTTAGTTGATGATACTGAATCCTACAGCTTGCAGTCAACAACATCAAATCTCGTCTTCTTTCTACAATATCTCATCAGCTTCCATTTCAAAGCTTCAGGTAAGCAACAACACGCAATGGCTGAGAAGAGACGAGCGCCCGACGACCATGTGGAAGATCTGACAGAACGACCCGAGCCTAAGAAGGTCAAGAAAGTACGATTCCAGCTCTCCCGAAATGAAGAAAACCTTCCTGAGAAGGACATTCCAGCTCCACACACAGACGACGAGCTGACTGAAAGAAGATTGCGTGCAATGCGTACGAGGGACCTGGTTCATGATATTCTGGCTGCGATGTACTACGACATCCATCAATTCGGTATGCTCCGCAATGCCCTCAGGCAGAACCGTATCAGACTCTTTCCGGACCTAAATTTCTACAAAATGCAACATAAAGAAGCAGGCTGGTTATTGGACAGAGCTATTCGCCGAGAAATGCTTGCGAAGGTAGGCCAGACAAGTGGTGAGGATCGGACTTACCCGTCGAAGCAGGAAGCACAGCGTGTTGGCCATTTCATTCGACATCTCAATTGGAGGATATTTGCCATGTGTGCACTCTCAGAAGCCTTTCGGCTGGCACTTTATGCAGAAGATCAACTGGTCTGGGCAGTTTTGGTGCACAAGATCATGGAGAACCGGACCAGCATTGACATCTTTGCCCAGTCACGAGACTTGGACTGGCAAGGCCAGCTATTGAAACACGCGGACAAAGATATACCAGGTCTTCAACAAGCACTGGTCCCGATGCCTGATATGACTTCGGAGCATTTTCATCAGATAGTCCTTGCAGATGGCGCTCTGCGAAAGCCTCGGTACGACGGACACAACCAGATCAACATCGACAACGGGAATAAGTTCATTCCCAGCTACTTCAAAGACAACAAAGATCCCACGATTCGCGTTCTCGACCGCGACGGACGTTGCGATCTCTGCTATGCAGAGCGAGAATGCAATTGCAGGCTATCTACCCCGACTCTTGCCACGTGCTTGGTTGAACTTGTTGACTACCCACCCAGGGGGATCGGAGTACGGGCTCTGGGCAGATTCAAGAAGGGAGACATCCTCGACGAGTATGTCGGTGAGCTTCGGCCTGTAGGCTATCAGGAAGATCCTGTATATGCTCTACTGCACGAGTCCAAGATGGTTGAAGGCGAGCCACTTGCTTTGATATCGGCCAAACGGTATGGAAATTGGACTCGGTTCCTCAATCACTCTTGCAAGCCGTCGACAGCGTTTCTCAAGATGACCGTTGGCAGAAAAACCATTGTGGCTGTCCAGGCACTCAGGGATATTGACATGTTCGAGGAGATTACTATTGATTATGGCAAAGGCTACTGGAAGAATAGAGTGTGTCTTTGCGGGGAACCTGGTTGTCGCTCGCAAACTGCCACCGAAGAGGAGACTGAGGCTTGATTTCTCATCAACTTTCCTCGTTAATTCATTGATTCTGTACTTTACGGTGATTGTCATGTTTGTGATTGTGTTTAGTGTTCAAAGCACCACTGTTATGCAGATATGTAAAGTCTAGCTACTGCTGTAATGATCAAGTTGCGGGTTTGCTATTAATATAATTGCCTTGGCTTACTGCTTCGGCTAGCCTCGGATCTCACCGAGACAGATCTCATTGCCTTCAAATAGTCTAAGACTAGTGACCTTGGCTCACTCCACCACAAGCGAAGCCATAATACTACCCAGTAGTAGACTAGATACGAAGTATTTAGTGTATCTAGTCGTTCACTAAACACAAGGGGTCGATGCTTTCCTCGGGAATAGTGACCTTTCATCAACCCCGCATTTGCTGCAACCGACACGTGCGGGGGAACCGAAGGGAGCTTCTCCCACTATGAAACGGCCAGGCACACTCTCTCAACCCTTGCATGAGTCCAAACGAATCAGTGTTGCTCATCAGTGTCCTTTAAACTCTTGAGGAGAAGTCTTTCAATCAAGGTGAATGGAATATTAGAGCATTGTATCCTGCTAGCCCTCAGAACAGACCAGAAGGAAAGGGCTTGTTGAACAGGATAGCTGAGAGGGCTACTCACTGGGGCCTTGGGCTACTATACTCGTCTCAGCTCCCAAGAGCTATGAACTATCGATAGCATGCGCGTGTTTACCGTGCGTCGCGCGGGGATTGTCCCTCGTCAAGGCTGGGGCGTTGGTTTCTCCTTGAGGGCTTCCCAGCAAGTGCCCTCAGCACGACGAGGGCTGCTCACTCAGAGCTATGCTTGTGGACCAAGAGAAGTAAGTACGCATTATGGGATTAATAACTACCTGAAGGAGGCTGACATTACCTCGATATCAAGCCACCTTTGATTGACTCTACTGTTGGGGACCACTTTGCCAGCATTGTCAGCCAGTATGGCGACAGAGCAGCGTACGTGAACTTGATCTTGCACGCGATTATGCTTAATTTGAGCAACATGACTGACTCTCATGCATTTTGAAGTGTAATATCAAAGCATCAGAATCACAGGTTGACCTACGCCACACTCGATGCCAAAAGTAATGCCCTTGCGCGGGGACTGGAATCTGTGGGTGTGCGGAAAGGGGACCGTGTCGGCGTCATGCTTGGAAATTCCTCAGAGTATGCCATTGTATGTCATCTGCCTTCTAGGCACTTCCATGCGCCGCGTTTGTTGCTGGATATTGATCACACTTGAGTCTTGCAGGCAACCTATGCATTGTTCAAACTCGGAGCCATCCTGGTATGTTCCAACATGAATGGCCGATTCCGATGAACAATTGTCCACTGAACCACGCCTTACAGGTACCGCTTAACCCTTCTTTCAATGCAACTCAAGTCATCTCCGCGTTGAGGCACCTTGGAGCCGCGCATTTGATCATCAGTGCCGAGTCCAACTTGCCGCGGAAAGACCCCCGGAGCAATGTCCCACTACTCAAGCACATTGTTCAGGATCCCCACACAGCAAAATTAGAGTCCGCAGTAGTACCTTCACTAAAGAACGTCATTTTCGTTGACAACTCTTCCGGCAGGGTCAATTGGTCCGACTACAAGAGCCTGACGCCTTTCAAGTCGGTCATATCCGACAACATCGCTGATGCGGATCCACTGCCTCCCCAGGACCTCTCGCCTCGCGATATAGTGAACATCCAATTCACATCAGGCACCACCGCCATGCCCAAAGCGGCATGCCTGAGCCACCGCTCAATCCTGAACAATGGTTCTCAGATTGGCGATCGAATGCGGCTGACCGCGAAGGACATCGTGTGCTGTCCTCCACCTTTGTTTCACTGCTTCGGATGTATTCTGGGCTACATGGCAACCGCTACCCACGGCTCTGCCATTGTATTCCCGACCGAATCCTTCAACGCCCGTGCCGCTCTGAAAGCTGTGCAGGAGGAGAGATGTACAGCACTTTACGGCGTGCCTACCATGTTCCTCGAGGAGCTCAGCCTGCTACAGGATGGCAAAGTCGCACACGAAGGGTTTGAGTTCCTCCGGACAGGCATCGCCGCTGGTAGCAGTATTCCAGAAGAGTTGATGAAGAAGCTGCATAAGGTCCTCAATCTCACAGAATTGACGATCTGCTACGGCATGACAGAAACTAGCCCCGTCTCAGCCATGACAACAACCGACGACCCATTAGACAAACGGATTAGTACCGTCGGTAGACTGATGCCTCACGTTGAAGCCAAGGTCGTGGACCCAGCGGATCGAAGCAAAATACTCCCCATCAACACCCGGGGCGAGCTGGCCGTGTCCGGGTACTTACTGATGAAGGAGTACTGGGATGATCCACACAGGACCGCCGAAGTGATGATCGCAGACCAAGAAGGGAAGATCTGGATGCATGTAAGCCACCCCTCTCCAAGTGCCGCTCCTAGTCTTTAGGCACCATAAGGTAGCCGGATGTCTGACCGAGGGCTGTAGACTGGCGACGAAGCCTCTATGTCACCGGACGGCTACATCACGATCACGGGCCGTATAAAAGATCTCATCATCCGAGGGGGCGAGAACATTCACCCTCTAGAGATCGAGAACTGTCTCCTTACCTACCCCGGCGTGGCCGATGTGTCCGTTGTTGGTGTTCCAGACGAGCGATACGGCGAGGTGGTGGCTGCTTTCATCATTTGCAAGGAGCAGGATCGCAGGACAGTAACCGAGGATAAGATCAGAGAGTGGGTTCGCGAGCGACTGAGTAACCACCTCGGTAAGCATCTCCTGCCATTTCTCTCCTAGTGGCAAGACATCCTATACGGAGTAGACACATCGATATGCTGACCAGAAACATCCTGCTGATAGTTCCGAAATATGTTTTCTTCCTTTCACCTTCCGATTCTTTCCCCAAGACTGCGAGTGGCAAAGTTCAGAAGTTCAAGCTGAAGGAGACTGCCATCAGGATTTTGAACGAGCAGAGCAATGCTAATTAGACGATGGAGAGGAACTGAGGTTATTCTACAACCTCATTGAGTGATAAGGATCGTCTTCCTTGAGAGCACTTACAGGAGCTTACTTATCACATTGAACATCTTCATTGCCATTCTTCAGTCGTCCCTACCATCATAAGGACTGTCCTGAGTAGAACTCAAATAACCTGGACGTCTTTACAGAAAGATCGGCAGACATTCTTGAAATCCAACTGTAGCAAATTCTCTGTATCGGAACAAAACAGCTAACCATTCTCAAAGTATTGCAGCCATTACATGCAGGCGAAGCAAAGTGAATACCAAGACAATATTCAAATCAGTTACACATACAAACACGACAGAATGACTGAACAGTCTGCAGAAAGATGCTTGAATAACACACGCAAGCATGCGCTAGATATAGCGCTGGAAGAAGCCTTTCTTCACCGGGGGCAGATGATTGTGAACCTTTGGATAAACCACGCCGGCAACTTCCTCAAAGCAATTGGAAGGCTTGCCTGGTTCAGGGCAGCAACATTCAATCCTCTTGACCCAGCGATCCTTCATCACATCGCAAATGGTAGCCCGTCTCTCTGGGATGGGATGGAGCATCCGTAGAATAAGACGCCGAAGAGCTTTTGTGCGAAGATCCGAGAAGAATTTTCCGGTTTTAGGATACACATCACCTGTGATAATTCCATCCGGTTCTCTTGTCGAGAACTCTTCCCACCATTTGAGATAGCGAGAATAGCCAGGGTCCTTCTCTTCTGCGGCTCCCCATGGCGTACCGCAGTGAAGCATGGCAAGGCAGACGATGGCACAAGACCATATGTCCAGCAAGCGTGCGTCGTAGCTTCCTGGGGATCGAATGACAGTTAGGAGGTCATGACATGAAGTAGCGTGGGGGATTGCAGGGGTACTTACGGTCTTCTGCCAGAACTTCTGGTGCAATATACGGTAGGCTGCCACAAACACCAGGGCCACATTTGCGAATCTTGCCAGATACTGTCGCACATCCTCCGTCATTCGATGGCAAACCTGGATGGAGCTCACTGAAGACTCTGGCGCACCCAAAGTCGGTGATCTTTAAATGACTGTCTCCTGTCAAGAGCAAATTTTCCAACTTGATATCGCGGTGCGCAATTCCAATGCTATGTAAATATGCGACGCCTTGGAAGAGTTGTTTCATCAGACATATTTGACTTTCGAATGAAAGATATCGTTGTTGGACGATTGTAAACAAGTCCCCTTGACTGCAGTATTCCATAATATGAGACCAACGGCCTGCGTGGGAGCAAAGACGAACAGTCTCCACAATATTAGGATGATGCAAGCTCTTGGCAATGCTGAACTCGAGTTTGACCTTTCTGTCGTAAGCTTGCAGGCTCTCCTTGCGACCTTTGCGAAATTCCTTCACCGCATAATAATGCTGCTTTCCGGGACCTTTTCCGTGCATTAATTTGACAGTAGCCGTGACACCTTTACCAATGATCTTGCCCCGCAAGCCAGGAATGAAACTGGTGCCGACAAATTCGTCACTAAGTTTGCAGCTATCAACGATGAAAGCCTCGGGAAGAGTTGCATCTCCAATCGGAGACTTGCCTTTCCCGTCCACTGGAATGGGAAATTTTGGTATCTCCAATTGGTCAGGCATTGTGCCACATGTGCGAGATTCAACGAGAATCAGAGAGCTTTCTGAACGAGAAGCAAGGTGACGACCTGTCTCCTTCACTATGCGCGAAGACGATAGCTCGCACTGATCGCTGATGCCTATGTTGAAGATGAGTTAGATGCTTGCAAGACATAATCTCGAATGGCCGCCTAAATTCACGATATGGATATTTTTACATACTGTTGGTGGCGTTCTTAGTGGAGATGTTGAGAGCCGACCGCGAAGCCGACTTGTGTATGTCATCAGTATCTAAACGACGAAATAGACCCTTCAGGGAGATAGAGGCGAGGTTCAGCGGCGCTTGCTTAGGAGCTGGAGTGCTAAATGACGAAGATGACGATGGAGGTTGGGGACGGCTGAGATCCGACTGAGGTGATGTCGAAGCTGTGGTCTCCGTCTTCGTAGTCCTGAATGTATCCAAGTTCAAGGAGCTTCTTTTCTTCTCTGAAAATCCGGCTTCATTCGAGTAGCATGGCACATCGTCGGACCTCTTATATGCCTGAAAACTGCATTTCAAACCGTCTTTTTTGGTGCCAGGTTCAGAGCGTCCAGTATGGAGACACCCTGCTATGATCTGTTGACTTGACTGTTCAGAAGAAAAGACAGAATAAGGGTAATAGTAGTCTGGCTCATGCTCTTGGATCACTTCTCTGCCAGAAGGCGAGGAACCCTCAGACTGAGTCATGCTTCGTGCTGTAGTTGCTCAAAAATCAGAACAAACACAGCAGACTGATAAACGTATGAGTTGGATGAATGTATTGAAGTATAATGCAGCGAAGTCTTGTTCTTTGAACGATCAGGAAAGCGCGAAGGTAACTGCGAGAGAGAAAGATGTGAGGAAAGAGAGGGAAAGAGTAAGATGAGAGGGCGAGCAGAGAGCGGGTGGGCAAAGTCGTGCCACTGACTTGAGGACGTTATCTCATCATTGCACCGACACTTGGGGGTCATATTGCTTGCCTAAGGCACGATACCACGACATTATGCTCGCATCCCCTCATCAAATATGCATGACTGGCTACTCGGCATACATTGACAAAATGTGTGACCATAGCGCAATCTTGATCGCTTTCTAGAGAGTGCATGTTGGATATCTTGCTAGCTAACTTGATGCAGCATGGCGTAGGTAGGTTGAAGTCAGCGAAGGGCAAGGCGCCATGTATGATCTTTCGCCGACACAACGAACATTTGTCTAATAATCAGAGGACAGATCAAAGTCCAGTGAATTGAGGTATTCATACTAACCAGGCAATCAACCATCCGCTGGTCTCATCAAGTGAGCCTATGGGTGGGTAGAAAGTTTCAGCGTTGTTCCCAACTGGTGAATTCCAGGAATATTGACAACCCACATCAAGCCCTTAGATGCGATTGTAGCATTTCATGGAAATAGAATACCCATGCCACGCATTCAGAGGAGGTTTTCCCTGGCTGCAACCGCTGTCAAAACCCCCGGCGGCAGCATACGAGAAACTGCGAACTGCTGGAAGGGCATTCCATTGCTTCCAGCTTGAATGACTGAGCGCCAGCCTTGCACGTACTCGCGAGCGGCACACGAATGTGGGAGTCACCAAGCCTGGCGAATTCCGCTCCTGCATTGATCCAGAATCCGCCCGAATGCTCAATCTTCATTGTCAGAGAAGGCAACCCAGGGTCACTAACCGTTCAAAAATCCTGTATGCCTGTCTCTCCCTGCAAGTGGGACTTGATATCTCCATCAGTTCCCTCAACCATCCATTCAGGCTCTTCGTCGTCAAAGTAACGCTCCTGCTCCTCAGTCCAGTCATCATATTCATCATTCTCGTCAACTTGCGTATAGTCAAAGTCGCAGTCCTCCCCTTTCAGAAAACGCATCGTCATTTCCCAGCGCCAAAGTTTTTCAGCTTCCTCTTTGCTTGTGGGTATCTCATCTGCGTCCTCCGCAATGATCTCCCCACTTGGACCACGACTATAGCTGAACATCGCATGGGGGTTGGGATTATTGAGAGCATCAAGCTTGGCCTCTGAGCGTTGCAAGTCTGCTTGAAGAACACCAGAAAACGCTTTCGCTCTCCCTTCGGCTTCTCTTTCTGCAGGTGTTTGGAACCGGCGGATTAGTCGATCGTATAGCAACGGGTCTACAGGGGCTGGATATTAGCTTATCAGGCTTCTTAATCAAAGAAGCCATCAGTCTCTTAGGCAAAACGAGGATAGAGCAAGCGGACCAGCGAGCTCGAGATCAGCGGAGAAGTATTCCGGATGCATGTCCAGATAGCGTTTGCGACGGTTTTTCACTCTCATGGCAGGGGACGGTTGCACTGAGCTGGACCTGATGTTCCGCTGTGCGCCGTCTGACTTCATCTCGAATCCAGTACCCTTAGGGAAATGAGGCATGTCTGTACAATGCAACGATCTGTGACTAACATATGGGGAGAAGAATATCAATCAAGATGACGAAGTGGTGTTGAAAGAGCCACCAGCATCTGTTGAGACTAACCAGTTCGAGTAACTCCCAAGAAGCACTGCGGAACGTTGCGGGTGGGCAAATTCCCTTCATCTCCGCCGCCAACAGTCCAGCAGCGAATAACAGCCCACAGACGGCCAGGCGATGGATAGTCGGCTTTCTATCTGAAAGAGGACATGTAAGAGCTATCTACTCCTTTTTGTTTCATATTTGCCATTCTGTTCCTTACACTGCGCCTGGCCTTTTTTCTTGGCCTGCGATCTCCTATTGGTGTTTTGTTCGCATCTTGACTGTTCGAGGACGAGTGTGATATTATGATATCGACATAGCCAGGTGCTTACATTGAAGCCTTGCAGGCCAGTCGCAGCTGATTACTTCGACAGTTGAATACAAAGCCCGAAAAGACAAGACACGTCGAAAGCTCGACATCATGTCTTCTCCCGGAGGAATGCTCCAGCACGTCAAGCTTGAAAAGCTTCTGCCAGGTGTGGCATTGCTGCTCCTCACTGCTTTCTATTCCCCTGTCTTTCTCTTGACCCTGTCTCCGGTTTTTGGCTCTGCGCCCTCCCATATCTTTCACGGGTATGGAGTTGCTGTCACTGCCGCTGCTGGCTGGTTCTTGAAGGACGTGATTCATCGGCTGTCTGGTCGCAGAGCAGTGTATTTGGTCCCCGTTCTCGCATTCTGGGTTCCGACCATCCAATATTTCATGTTTCACCAGAGCTCATCATTTGGGAATCCAACCGGCCCGGTAATTATTGATATATTTACCTTTTACCCTCTGGTACTGCTTTCTGTGGCCTGTGCTGGGAAACTATTGCAGTCGGGCCTGAACATGAGCCAGCATGGAGACCTTATGACAGAGCATATCCCCCTTCTCGGATCCTATATTATCTACTCTGCAGGAGAGCATTTCTCGAAAGCATTTATCTCGAAGTTCATTGGCTTGACTTTCTTTCTGAGCCGTGGCGGCCTTCAATTGCTGATTGCGAGTTTGTATTCGGCTGCCATCCCATCCAAATGGCTGGTATTAGCCATTCCGTCAATCCTCTTCTCTCTCACTTCTAATGTGCACATGCCCTTCAGCCGCACAACCGCCGCCTTGAACTCGGCTATTCAAGTGGAGGGTTATGAACTTCTCGCTAGACAGGATTCTTCCACCGGTTACATATCTGTTTTGGAGAACTTGGAAGACGGCTTCCGAGTGATGCGGTGTGATCATAGTCTCCTTGGTGGTCAATGGACAAAGATGCCGCGTAATTACCATCCCGAGGTCAAGGATCCCATCTATGCTGTGTTTGCTATGCTCGAAGCCATCCGGTTGATCGAAACCGACCACGGTGAGGCGCGCGTGGATGCCAACAGCAAGGCTCTCGTCATGTAAGGAACCATATCACTGCGCCAAATTTGTGGAAGCAAGGCAGTCAGCTAATTGAACTTGTTTAGTGGACTCGGGGTGGGCACTACTCCCTCTGCATTGATCACGCACGGCATCGAGACCACAATCGTGGAGATTGATCCGGTTGTGCATAGATTCGCCACGGAATACTTCCACCTACCCTCCAATCACATCGCGGCCATTGAAGATGCCACAGTGTTTGTGAGGCGTGCCCAGGAATCTGCCAGCCCTGCTCAATATGACTACATTGTCCACGATGTCTTCACGGGCGGGGCGGAGCCAGTCGAGCTCTTCACAATCGAATTCATCAAGGGTCTATACGACCTATTGAAAGACGATGGTGTTGTTGCCATTGTAAGTCCCACCCCTCTCAATACCAACTCCGTCACCTCATTCACTGATGATATCTACAGAACTACGCCGGGGATATCTCACTTTACCCAGCCGCGCTTGCGGTGCGCACAATCAAGGCTGTCTTCCCGTCGTGCCGAATCTTCCGCGAAGATGCAGCGGCAGAAGCCAAGTTCGATTTCACCAACATGGTGATCTTCTGCAAGAAGAGCAACACGCCCCTTCGCTTCAGAGAACCAGTCAAGGCCGATTTCCTGGGAAGCAGGTCTCGTCAGAACTATCTTGTGCCCAAGCACGAGGTTGACCCGGCCCAATTCGACAAGATTGAGAAGGGCGGAAGGCGTGTTCTGGTTGCGAAGGAAACGGGCCGTCTTCATAAGTACCTGGATCGTGGTGCCCTTGGCCATTGGGAGATCATGAGGACGGTCATGCCGGATGCGGTTTGGGAGAATTGGTGAAACTAATCACATACTTGTGTGTGTATACTATAAATATTCAGAAAAGTCGTTCGCTTGCACAGTTTTGTTGAAAAATATGTCTGACGTATAAAGCTCCGGCTCAACCTTATGTTCATGAAAGTATGCGACGTATCACGAGTCTGAAAGAAAGTGGAAGGTAACATTGCTGCCAATTTCTTTGCAGCTAGGTCATCGCAAGACACATACCTTGCAGTTTTCCCTGAAAGAACCCAACAGTAATTGGTGGTGTTATTATGTCTTCATAGCTATGCTAATGATATCATTTGGTTGGATAAAGTATAGCTCCACAGATAGACAAAGGGAATATGTGCTAGTCAGATATGTCGCCCAACTCTAAGACTCCTAATCCACCGTAACAGGCTATCCTGGTATCGAAAACAAAGAGCGTCGCCAAGCCGATATCCTCGATCCTTGGAGTATGTACTGAACGGGAACGATAAAAGTACAATTAAAACGGCACTCAACTCAACTCGTCGGAATTCAAGTCGACGGACTTCCGCGTGGACTCGTTCCAGGTTTCTTGACCAAGCCTGCAAAGAAATTCGCCAGCGCTTGATTGTGTGCCTTTTCATCCCCCGGTGACGAAAGGACCTCTTTTCTCTGGACTCGGCTAGCCTCTCTCTCCTGGGAACGATTAGCAAAAAAACCCGAAGCACATCTCCCTCCAAGTCAATTCGGTAGCTTACTTTGAGTTTCCTCAGCATATCGTCAGCGTCGACCTGGATACCTCCCATGTTGAATTGCACAGGCCCAATGTGCTCGTTGACCCGACCGTTATCTTCCAAAGGCGACATTTCAAGTTGAGGCACTTGTTTCGTCGCACGATCTTTCTCATCTTCCTGCTTCAGCTGCTCCAGCACATCTAATTGCTTGGTAAGGAAGCTCTGCATGTCCAGCGTCTCCACTTCAACCTTGTTCGCGCTATTTTGGCTTCCGGGATGCGCCATCGCGGTATTGCGCTTGGGATCTGTGATCGTTTGTTCAAATATTGTCACAGCACTGGTCCCGTCTTCGGCACCCATTGCGCTGTCGTCTTGAGGTTGATTGACAGATCCAGTGAGTGGCTCGGGAGGGTCCTGGATCTCGATTGACCAAGCAGTTGATACACCTTCCATATCGAAACCCTCTCTGATGATTCGAATCTTGCCCCATGAATCCCAATTCGGAGGCACCAAAATCTTGTCTCGATCAATCACATTGTGCTTGAGCGACTGTCGCTTTAGTAACGAATGTATTCCAAGGGACGAATGTATCAAGCTCTGCAGGGAGTTGGCGAGAAACGGGGTGGTATATATCAACGATGCGCCATCTGCGAGCAGTTAGCACGATTTCTCGAAGGCATTTAGGAGAATGGACACTCTCACGTTTCAGAAGAATGGTCCTCATAAACTGAAGGATGAAGTCAAACTCCTCTTCACGCCATCCGTGATCCTTCTCCAGTTTCTCGATCTTATCCGCCTGTTGAAGTAGCAGTCAGCCCGGTCTGGTCCGTTCACCAAGGTATAGCCTTACATACCCCTTGACAAACCACACACACGGGAATCCCAAGACCCTCGTCCCATTCACCAGGGCCGAGAGGTATCGCGACTGGTCCTCCGGAGCTGGCCAACCCTTGCGCTCCGGCTGAACTAGAATCCATGCCCCTTTTTCGGTCCTTCCATTCCGTCATGGTCTCCTCCATCACAATCTTTGTCTCATCGTCAAGGGAGAAGAGAACATGTCGCAGCAAACGAACCCATTCCCGCAGTCTTCGAACCCATGTCCAGGGGTCCGTCCAGTCGAGCAGGATTACGACTAAAGTTTCTGGGACTGATTGAGGGGTTAAGAGTGGCTTGAGGAGTGGTGCAAAGGACAAGGATGGTTCGGAAAGTAGATATGCAGAGACTCGAGCCAAGGTATCTGAGGCGAAAATGACTGGTTAGCCAGCATCATCACAGGAGCCCGATAGATTGTAGCGCGGTGGGGGTAAAGACAGGTAAAGGCAGAATTACCTTCCTGGTCGGCGTCCAGGACGTCCTGATATGTGTATCCCAATGCGAATTGATTGGCGACTGGCGGCAACCTTCCCCTTCGCTTCTCGCTGATCAAGGTAGGATCCGAAGTGTCCGCGGACAGTGTCTCTATAAACTCCCTCTGTGATTCGGGTGTTCCTCCTGGAGGGAGTTTGATAGATCAGCAAGCCGGTTCAAAGACCCAACTACAACCAAGGGATGATAGAGAAGAATTCAGAAGACTGCGCACCTAAGATCAAAAGATTCTTCTCAGGCAAGCGCTTTCCATTTGCGACACTGTCCAGCATGGACGACCAGATATTTTTCTTGGGGCCATCTTTACTCGACGGTCGACTATTGTTTCCAGACATTATGTCCAAAATCGACCCTGCTCAGCCTGTGCTGACCATTCCAACTAGTTGAAGTCTTTATCAGAGCCCCGACCTGTTCAACGCGTCGATCTTGAGGCTTTGTGCACAGGGAAGGGACAGAGGCGGACAGTGTCAGGGGACGTTCGAGATTGATGCTGTAGCTTGTACTCTAGCCCGCAAATCGACGGAAGAATTGAACTTGTGAGAAAACGATATAGTTAACAGGTAAATTCCAGAAATAACCAGTTCTAGCAGTGAATAGAAGGTATCTTCTACAGCAAATGAAAGTCAAACTGCTTAGATGTAAACAATGTTTCATATTATTGTGTTTCCCGCTCCGTCTTTGCGGGTGGGACCTTGCGCGGAGTCCACCCGTGATACCATGACCTACGAGCTTTTGCGACTGGAAAGCTACCTCGCCATCTTCACTTTCGCCAAAAACTACAACAACCTGCCAACTGCGAAAGTCCGCTATGAATGCTATTCGTCAAACTCAAGCGCTCAACAAGCGGGAACTTGAAAATGCAGTGTGCGGTTTCTATCTTCTGAATCTTACAGCTTCACATTACTGACATAATTGAACTTTTCTAGGCCACCTGAAGCTTCCTGGCACGCAGATTATCGGGATACGGCCTACATTTACATAGGAGGCCTGCCATTCGATCTCTCAGAAGGCGACATCATAACAATTTTCTCACAGTATGGAGAGCCAGTACATGTGAATCTGATACGAGACAAAGAAACCGGGAAGAGTCGGGGGTTCGCGTTTCTAAAATATGAGGACCAGCGCAGTACAGATTTGGCTGTTGATAATTTGGGCGGGGCGACAGTCTTGGGCAGGATGCTTCGAGTGGACCATGCGAGATACAAGAAACGTGACGACGAAGAAGACGTGGATAACGTCGCGAAACTGATGGGCGAGACTACTGATCGGAATTCAAGGGGTGGGGATACTGACGACGAAAGGAGAAGACGCAAGAAGCGAAGGTCCAGCGAATCCAGAGAGGTTGAGGCGGGGAGTCGGCCCCTGCTCAAGGAAGAGAAAGAACTTCAGGAGTTGATGATGAACCATGATGACGAGGACCCCATGAAAGAATATCTCATCGAAGAAAAGAAGGAAGAAGTCGCGCGTGCTCTTGAACGGTTGAACAAGGAGAAGAAGTCGTCTCGCAGACGAGATTCAAGCCGTGAGCGATCGAGTCGCCATCACCGCCATGGTCATCACCGTTACCGAGACGAGGATCGATCTCGTTCCCGAGAACGGAGGCATCGGCGTGATCGGTCACCATTCAGAGAGGAGCGTTCCTACAGAGACAGATCATCATCGCGGAGAGAAAAATCTCACAGGGAGAGATCGCCTGTGCGCTCCCGAACCTCAGAACCACGAAGGGATCGTGAAAGAGACGATCGTCGACGTTGATAAGGAATCAAATGATCAATTGTTGCTGCGTCAGTCCGTTCTCTAGCGATTAATATTGCAGGTGTCAGCTTGCAACAGAACAAACTTAACCGCCTCCTCGAACCTCTGGACTGGGGTTACTCAGCGCACAAGACGTTCTCTGCTCATCTTCATCAATGACAAGAAGGAAATTGGCGTTGGTCAACTCCATCAATACGTCTCGTATTGTTTGAAGCAAATCGTTGGAACAATAACAGATTTTTGAGGAACGATTGTTTTGACTATTACATTACCAGGTGCATATTATACTATGCATCAATTTCAACCCGTGATATCAATGCAGGGAGAAAGGAGCCGCCTCAACCGACCCCAAGATATCTTTTCCAACCCTCTCTCACACAATGCCGCTTCCCATCATCCCCTTCGCGGATCACAAATTTCTCCCATCGCCCATCTCGGCCAGAGCCAACCACAAGAATGGTCCGGTCGTCGGGCCAGCCCAGGACGCCTTTTGACGGTCGTGCAAACGATGTTCCTAAAGGGGGGACGTAGAGTGACCCTGGGGGCGATTCTTCGCCAATCTCAAAATGGGCACTCGCAAAAGAATACACGTCAGAGAATACTCGCGGGAGCAGGGGAATTTTACCCAAGATCCCCCATTTCTGGTTTGTCCCTTCCTCCGACGGCGAGGAAGGCGATTGGCTTCGGCGAGACTGATTTCGTGGATGGGGAATATCAAACACATGGAGAGTAGACTTATCCGATGTCACGGCCAATAAATTGTTCGAAGGTGATATCGCAAGTGAGAAGATCACCGCGTGGTCAACTCCTCGTCGTAGTTCAGCCATCTTTGTGCAGTTGCTGGTAGAAAACACTCGTATCAATGTACCCTGAAAAGTAATAGGTCAATCAGGCGTAGACTTCGGCACAAATGGGGCGATTATAATACCGCTTCACTCGCTGTTGCCAGCACTTCTCCGTCCGGACTTAACGCCATGGCACGCAGCGGAGTACTATGGGCAGGTATGATGCTGACATTTCCTGTTTCCAGCTCGACGATCTGGACCTGCCCTGGAGATCTTCCTGGAAAAGCGAGTAACTTCTGCCCTAGGCAAGCCAGACCGATCGGGTTGTCGGTCGTTTCGAAGACTGAGAGCTTCTGTGGCGGATTGGAAAAAGCGAAAATGTGTATGCTATTCAATAAAGCAACAACGATTCGCGATTTCGATAGACGGACACCAAGGACGGACGTACGGAACTCGAGTGTGATGACTGCTTTTTGTTTCGCATCGTCCCAGATCACCAACTGCAAAGAGTCTCACGAGTCAGCTTTACCAGAATATGCAAGCTGTCTGACATGAAAATCCATGCACCTTGTTCTGAGGAAATTTGGGATTTCTTCCTCCACCAACAATAGCCAGGTAGTTTGACTGGCCTAGCATTACCACTAGGCCTATTCCAGCATTGAAATCTGCATTGTCATGAAGAAAAAAAGGGTTAGAAATGGCGCATCTTCAGGGGAGAATTTATGTACCCCGTGACACTTTTAGCTCACATGGATTCGCATTGAAGACTATGGTTGATCGATCAAATATTAGCTCTGCTGGCTTTGCGACGCAAATGTCTCCAATGCTGTTGATCACGGAGAGCCAGCCCTTACCACAAAATCCGGTATCCAGTCCAACAGAGAAGCAGCTATTGTCACTATTAAAGCTAGCAGAAAGAGAATATGGCCCCACGGACTCATCGATAACCTGTCGAGTATCCATATTGATAGGCGATGACTGAAGCCATGAAGCAGAACCGATAGGTACTGGGTAATATCTGGGAGGGTGAGAATCAGGGTCGAGGAACAATATTTGCTAGTGCGCGCTGAATGTAGAACAGACAAGAGTAACGCCAGGAGGATGCTGTCAACTCAAGAACGACTCGATGTTGAATAAAAGCATTTTGAATGCGACCTTTTGATAAGTCCGCCAGGCTAAGACCTCGGAGCAATGACGAAAGGTTTCAAGCTCTCCGGGGACAGATAGCGGAGGACCAAACGGGGGTCGGCTAGTGCCTGAGGTATCCACAGTCGGTCACACTTGGCGGTTATCATCACATGATGAACTGCACTGCTATCAACCTGGAATGGATGCTCTTGATCAAATTTGGAGCATGCACTTAAGCGACTGTCAGTGAGAACAGAAATCTTTTATGCCAGTTCTTGGATAATACATGCAGTGTGGAGCTGGTTTCATCAATAGGTTAGATAATGAAGCTTTCAACGAGCACCGCAGGTATTAACGCCTCTCATGCATGAGCAGTCGACATACTTTATTGGCTTTTCCAATTGAGAACTCAACACAACTTACAAGTCTAGGGCTAGGTACCTCTAGAAATTTTCGACATTCTGCCCATACGAACCAGGAGGAGAAAAGATGATGCTTTGCTGGGAATCCTTCAAAATGCGTCCATGATCTCCTTTGACTGCTTGTTCTGAGAATGGATAAAGATTGTTCGGACAGTTGAGCCACTATCGGAGAGCTTCTGTTGGCAGAAACCCTTGAATGGATTCAGAACTTGGTTCTGTACCTATATAAGGTACCTTAGCTACTTCGATTTATGACCAGTCATTAATGAGGCATCCATTGTCTTCAAGCTCAGCATGGTGCCTTATTTGCCTCAGGCAAAAACATCGAGATCTTAAGGTGATACAATAAATTACTACTCCGTACGGAGTATACGCTGCATAAAGCCAGAGAGACCCACCACTGCAGTAAGTGTCAACCCCTGAATTATTGAATCTCTGAACACCTTCAGATTTTGGCGCATTACCTAGGTAGCTCTTGAACATGATCTAGATAGATAATAAAAATGTGATTTCAGAGGCATTGGCTTAGGTACTGTGCAAAAGGCTCTAGCTGCAGAGAAAGAGACTACCTAGGTACTTATCCCCATCATTCTCATCAACTACCTACCTACTGAGCTGGAGAAGCAGAAACCAGGATAGGCATAGTATATTACCAGTCGAGGTAAGAGTAAAACAATAAGGTACTGTGAGGGGAGACCTGCTTGAGCTTTCTGGCTGTGATTGAAATGGACAGGTGCGTAACATACTGTAAGATCCCCTGTATTTGCGTACCATGGAAACAATGATACAGTACCTGGACCTTCCCCCCCTAAACTACCTTAGGCACAGCCAGTCTCCAACTGGTCTGTTGCTCACTCCATTCAATCTCAGGAGAGACACAACAGCATCCATCCATCCATCTTTACCTCACTAACTTCCCCGGTCCCCTACTTTGGCTTCATATTCCCAGTCTTTGGAGCCTGCCATTCGCTTTCCCCCCTCTTTTTTTTCGATCTCATCTGGACTCTGTCTTTGTTCTCGAATTCCCTCCCTTGTCCCTTAGCCCACCATGTCGTCGGCTCTCAACGCGGTATGTTGTTTGCTTCCCCTTTCTGGCCTCTCTGCTGAGGGATACAATCCCGCCACTTCTTCTTCCATGCCGCACAATTGTTCCGATTGGGGTTCAATTACTACGATTCATACACATGTGTCTCTGTTGCCTTGCTATGATGATCGTAATCTGACATTCCACATAAGATTCGACGCAAGAAAAATGTCAAGAAGGGTATCCAGTTCTGCTTGATGGTCTGTGGTGCTAGCGGAACCGGTATGTTTCGAAGTCGTCTACTAGGCCATTGTTTCACATCCTGACCTAGTATCTTCTTTGCACAGGACGTACAACCTTTGTCAACACCCTTTGCGGAAAGAAAGTCCTCGAGAGCAAGGACGCCGACGACGCTGCCAGCGCTCACATTGAGGAAGGTGTCCGTATCAAGCCAGTCACAGTTGGTAAGTTACCATCATTGCTTACCTAGAAGGAGAAACGGCGCTCATTTCACAATTCAAAGAACTCGAATTAGACGACGAAGGCACCCGAATTTCCCTGACCATCGTTGATACCCCCGGTTTTGGTGACCAGATTGACAATGAAGCCAGGCATGTACAAATCAGTTCCGCACCTGCGCCCCAAGACTAACTGTCCTTCAGCTTCGGTGAAATCGTCGGATACCTTGAACGCCAATATGATGATATTCTTGCCGAAGAATCGCGAATCAAGCGTAACCCTCGCTTCAGGGACAACCGTGTCCACGTCCTCCTCTACTTTATCACACCCACAGGTCACGGCTTGCGTGAGTTGGATATCGAACTGATGAAGCGTCTTTCTCCTCGTGTCAACGTCATCCCTGTTATCGGAAAAGCCGATTCCCTCACCCCTGCCGAACTCGCCGAGTCCAAGAAGCTCATCATGGAGGATATTGAGCACTACCGCATCCCTGTGTACAACTTCCCCTACGACATTGAGGAGGATGACGAAGATACAGTCGAAGAGAACGCTGAGCTGCGTGGGCTTATGCCATTCGCCATTGTCGGCTCTGAAGATTTCGTTGAGATTGATGGACGGAAAGTGCGAGCCCGGCAGTACCCCTGGGGTGTTGTGGAGGTTGAAAATCCCAGACATTCCGACTTCTTGGCTATCAGAAGCGCCCTGCTTCACAGCCATCTCGCAGATTTGAAGGAGATCACCCACGACTTCCTCTACGAGAACTACCGTACCGAGAAGCTGAGCAAGAGCGTGGACGGTGCTGCCTCGTATGTTGCCCCACACATCTTTTAGTTTTGATTTAATTTTTCTACATGATACTGACTCTCAGTTACAGTGGTCACGATTCCTCTATGAACCCCGAAGACCTTGCATCTCAATCGGTCCGCCTCAAGGAAGAGCAACTCCGTCGCGAGGAGGAGAAACTTCGCGAGATTGAACTCAAGGTGCAGCGTGAAATCGCCGAGAAGCGCCAGGAATTGTTGGCCCGCGAAAGCCAACTCAGGGAGATCGAAGCCCGCATGGCACGTGAGGCCAGCCAGAGCCATATGGCCCTTCAGCCCGAGGCTGCCAACGGAGATGCTTAGATTCTTTTTTTTTTTCCATTCTTGAAGGCTGTTCTGTCAAAGCGGCACACAGTTTTGCGGGCTCGAACCGTCTGTGCTGACTTAATGGAACTTGTGGCACAGCGGATCGTAACTGTTCATGGGGTTGATATTGACCGTCTATTCACGTTAATAGCTTTGTCTTGCGAGGGAGGACCAGGGAAAATGCAGCGCTTCATTTCTCGATGACCGACACCATTCCTCTATTTGATAGAGCGGTATTGGAAACAAGGGACGGTATCTGGCTGTTGCTCCTGGCATTTGTTTTTCTCTTATTTACCTCGGGCCTTTATATTTCTTCTTCTCATTCCACTGGAGATTTCGCCGATCTTCAGAATCCATGTTGCAATGCCCGGTGTCCGGAATAGCTTTTTCTAATCTTTTACAGTTGCTGCTTGTAACGCTGACTCCAATACCTTTCTTTGCTCAGTTTTCCCTTCTCCTTTGTCTTTTTGTCAACCGACACCTGTCCCATCTCAGCAGCGCCGCAAGATTCCCTCTGTTGTCGTTTCATCTTTTGCGTTCTCTCGTGGCTTACGTCTTGTCTCTACTATCATTCTATGTTCAAGTTGAATAGTAGTATATGAGGAAGAAAAGTACATTCTCTACTATTTCCCGCGTAGTTTGGTCCGCAACCCGTGCGCCCGTCTTTTCTACTTGTCAAGATTTCCACAAGGCCGAACCATTCCTGCCAGCATGAAAAGGCCAAGAAAAGGAGGCTGGTGATCGATTGGGACGATTGTTATTTGGTGAATCGGGGGATCAGCGCCAGCTTTCCCTGCGATTAAATTCAGCTAAGATTCTCGAGACGTGACATCAAGGTTGTAGGAAGACAACCGGAATCGCAGAAGAAGCGGGAGAATTTATATGTAGTGAAAAAGAAGATGGAAGAGTATAAGAGCAATGGGGAAAGGAACCGAAAACAGGTGAAGTAAAAAAAGAGGCAGAAAAAGGGAGAAATTCGAAGGGACAAAAAAGCAAGTGGTATTTGCGCTTCATTGTACACAGGGGAAGTAAGCATGTGCTGATCTGACACAGATCAGATGATCAAATCCACAACACAAAAGATTAAGGTCTGAGAGCTGTGCGATATTCCTTGAAAAATCCGAGGGCAACAGCGGCTGAAAAAGCAAGAGTCAAATGCCTCGTGTATGATAAGACGACTTTCTACGGGAAAACAGAAACACGAAATGGCATCAAAGGACAAAGGCTTTCTTTTGATTGCACCAGCCATTCAAATGGCTTAGTGTTGTTGGGGCTTGTTCCAGAAATCCAGACTGGCTACCACATCCTCGCCTCCTTCGTCTTCGTAGGCGTACAAAATCTGAGATGGTATTAGCAATCCATTCAATCGGATGAAAATGTTTAAAATATGAACACACCTCTCTCGTGGAAGAATGCAACATGCGAATGTTCTTTCCAGTCATGATATGTATCAGCTCACTCGTCTCTATGTGCCTG